ATGAGTGAGACCATCTGGTATTTTTCTTTTTCTTTCTGGCTTATTTCACTAAGCATGAGCCCTTCCAGCCCCATCCATGTTGCTGCAAATTGCATGAGTTTATCTTTTTTGATTGCTGAGTAATATTCCATTGTGTATATGTACCTCATCTTCTTGAGGAAAGCTGTGTGGAGATTCCTAAACCTGCTAAAGATGGGGCTTCTATATGATCCAGCAATTCCACTCCTAGGTATTTACCCAAAGGACACAGAAACATTAATTCAAAAGAGCACCTGCACCCCTATGTTTATAGCAGAACTATTTACAATAGCTAAGCTATCATTAAAAAGACTTTTCCAGGGCTTCCCTGGTGGCACAGAGGTTAAAGATGGTGCTGCCAGGCTATCCTCTGCAGTGCAAGTTCGATCCCTGGCCGGGCAGGGAGCTACCCACATGGCGCAGCAGACCTCTCCTGTCTCACCAGCTGCTCCCCTCAGCAGTGTATTTCGGTGGATCTGCCTGTTCTGCTCCCCGCTCTCTCTGGTGGAGCCTGTCACCTCCCGCACCTCTGGCCTATACCCCAGTTCTTTTATGCATAAATATATCTTTAAAAAAAAAAAAAGACTTTTTCTTACCTCACTCTTGCCTGTAGTTTGTAAAAAACCAATTAGTGAGAGAGGCACCAGGAACTCCAATTCACTGGGCGTGCTCAGAACCTCTACCATTAGTAGTGGTTTTACACCCATTTAGTCTGCTGACATGAACAAGGTTTCACATTCTCAGAATGTGCCAGAGAAAGGAGTGGTTAGAGAGATGCCCAACTTGTCTCAACTCAATCACTTTGAGGAGGACAGAAGCCCCTAACATTTTCAGGATTTGCTGATGAAGGACAGAGCCACTCCATGGGCAATTTGCTAGAAAAACAAGGCTTTGGCATCTAAACCTCCAGTGCATCACAAACTTCCTGCTATTATCTAATAACTCCCCCCCCAACTCAGCCATCACTGTTTCCATGGTAACCGACAGAGAAATAGCAGCCTGCCAAATGGCTTTTGTAGTTCCTCTTCCAGCTTATTTTTCAGTATAGAATTAAAGCTAGCTAAGGAAAAAAAAAAAAAAAGACTAATCTTTACAACAGGGACACGACACAGTTTGAAAAGTATAACTGGGTTTGGGACAAGAAGTATGAGAAGCCTCAATGAGCCCAGCTTGGTAGACTAAAAAGGGCTCCTGATTTCTAAAAAAGTCAACTGAAGCCTTGGTAAGCTTTACTTCTGGTTTAAGACAGTATAGGCTGACCTTGGCCAAGAAATAGATAATGGCGCTTTTCATCCAGACTTTAATTAAATTCACAAAAGATAAGATGGGATGAACGGGAAAGCAAGATCAGACAACTTTACTATGCCCCCAAGTACCTTACTATCATTAAATGAAATGGTTATTTACTCTAAAATCAAAATGAATGAGCAGGAGTTGACACGTTAAGACTAGCAGGCAGTGGGAACAAAGTGTCGTTGCTTAAAGGACTGAAATGCTGAGTCCTAGGGATGTGCACACATGAAGCTGACTGGGCCCACGGCCTGAATCCGAGGGGTACTGATGCTTAGGAAACAAAGATCTCCTCACCATCTCCACACAGTGAGAAATTGTTAGGAAGGCAATGTGTGGAGCTGGGGGCGCTTTCAGAAGATCAGCAGCTACAGAGATCTGCTTAAGGTGCCAGACTGCAAAACAAACAGCTGCTGCAAGGGTGGAGGAGTTTGGAAAAAAAAAAAATCAAGGCTATTTCTCTTTGAAAGTGGCCCCAAACAGATGCTTTTCTGCTCAAAACTGCACACTTGAATCAAGTGCAGAAAATCTCATGACTCTTCAATGTCAGCTTCAGATGAGAAACCTTGACTCAAGTCAAATAGGTTTAGCTTCACTTCTGATAGGTTAAAACCAACAGGAGTTTGAAAGAGATTCCCACCCACAACCTCCAGCACACTGCACATGTCTTGTTGACTGGCATGAAAATTACAATCTATAGTGGCATATCAAGAGAGGTCCCTAAGAGTTTCGGCATGTCAGACTCCTACAAATTTCACACAGAAGACTAACCTGACTTATACTTGGTAATTTATGCTTTTTCCTTGAATTGTATGAATCATGAGTCATTTTTTCAGAGCTATCACTGGAGTTTAGAAAGAAAAGTAGACACAGATTTGCAATAACGATTTCCTTTCCATCCTTCAGAAAGGGATCATTATAGTAAGATAAAGATGATGTACTCGTATTTGCAAGGCTGTCAACTCGAAAGAGAGGCGTTGGCACTTTTAGTTTAGCTAGATTTGTGGAGCCCTAGATTTCTGGCATTTATTAAAGAAACGTGAAGGAGGTCTAACAAAAGTCTAAACTTGGGCTCTGTTTACCCAAGATTGGAATTTATAGGTTCTGAGGAGAAAAAGTTATTTTTAAATAGAATTCACCAATACATGATTACAATTTCAAATACATTAACATTCAACTTTCCCATCCTAAACACAAGTCAGAATTGGGAGGATATACAATTGTACCAAGCTCAGTCCCAGTTAAGATCACGCAGGAAATCAGTACTTACTAGCATCTGAGGTATTGACACATTCATATTTCTTCCCAAATGCATTTCCTCAGCCAACTTTGTTTCAAATTCTCAAATTTCTCACTTATTAGATCTATTGTTGTTGTTGTTTTCAAATCAAATCGGCTATTAATATAGATTCCCTTACTCCTAGCAGGCAATTAAAGGAACTGTATTATCACATTTTAGTATTTCATGGCCTATGTTTTTAACTCCTATTTCAAAATAGAACTCAAGAGGCCTTAAAGCTTCAGCATGTATAGTCACCTTCTTAAACACAGAATTTGTTCCAAGTAGCTGCCCTCAGAAAAGACACGCATATGTGGTTGTTATGCTCCCCACCCATGCATTAACTTGTAAGTGTATTACCAAGAAGCAGCTCTTGATCACCATGAATGTTTTTTTTTTGTTTGTTTGTGTTTTGTTTTTTGTGGGACCCTCGCCGGCGGCCGGGGAATGAACTGGCACCGCAGAGACTGCAGGCAGCCTCGCAGCCCAGCGCTCAACCGCTGCGCCACCAGGGGAGGCCCCACCATGAATGTTTTTATATGAGAAGATAAACCCTCTTCAGCTGCCTGGTGGGGAAAGGGAATGGAGCACTGTCAATGCTTACTAGTTGGAGACTACTTGCATAGTAAAACTAATTATATAGCGGTATACTCTGAAAAATCTTAAGCTTTGACTCACTAAATAAGCCAAAAATGTTTTTAACAAAGCGAATGTGCATGTAGAAAGAAACAGAAGTGGAACACATATGTACTCAGCAAGAGAGAAACTGCAAAGAACAAGAGACTAGGATCATAGCAAAGATCGCATTGGATGTATTATGACTGCTGTGCTGACCAGGAGAACGGAAGGCAACTGCGGAGGAAGGCAGCACTGGCGCATGCAGATCAGGAGTTCTCGCCAGGAAAAGAAGGCTTCACCTTACCCAGTGGTAAAGCCCCGCTTCCAGGCCCACACCTGGCAAAAAATGGTGTCCCACAAGTCCAGCTTGAAAAGAGGACCTGAACCTAAACATGAGACACATGGTGTTGTTCTGCTTTCCACATAACGGGAGTCTTACCCAGGTGGATTCTTCACATGTGTGACCTTGAGATTTAACTAAGCGGACACCCAAGTATAAAAGCATAACCACCCCTAAAAGGCAAAGGCTTGGCAGTCCGGCTCTCAAGTGGTCCTCCCTGACCATGAGAAAGCTGACTGCCAAAAAACCGTGAAGGCCATTCTAAGTGCTCATGGACAAATTTGCTTAGTACCTCACTGGAAACTGACAACCTCCTGCTTCTATAAACCGAAGTTTCTGTGTAAACAAAAGCAAAGAAAACCTAAATAATTATACCAACAAAAGATGCTTAATGGCATAAATGCAAAATAGCACAATATGCTTCAAAACACCACGCTCGGAAACCTAACACGTGTCAGGAGAACAGTCCAGTCTAGTAACTGTATTCACAGAGAAGTACATCTGATGAAGAGCAGACATGAGCACTGACTAAAAATCATGTGGTCTAGATTAGGTCATATGCAAAACACAGCCTGTAGGCTTTCCACACTGACTGGGTTTAATGTTATTAGTTGAATTAGAGAAAACCATGGTTAGAAAAAGACACAAAACCTGCAAGTAAGAGGCTTGCTCTTTTCTTAGAGTTCCTATCTATCACTCTATCTATCTATTCATCCATCCACTGATCCACCTATCCACCTTAGTTCTAAGGTCTACCCTTTCTGATTTAAAAATATGAACAGCCCTAAGTCCTTAAATGTCATGTAACATAGATAAGAGATGTACGGACAATAGAAGTCCGTTTAGTCACTGCTTTTCTTCCTGAACTTGGGCAGGCCACCACCTCTAATAATCAGGCTCGAATTCCCGCCCTCTGAGTTACAGATGCATCTGAATTTCAGGCGAAGGCTAAGAAGGCAACGAGGATGCATGTGAGGGTTCCCCACAGAAACATGGCAGCACCGGCAGGAAGAACACGTGCTTAGAACGAAGGCTCCCTCAGGTCATCCTCCTTTAGCTTCCTTCCTTTCCATTTTTACCCCTGCCAGTGTAAGCCTTCCCTTTATATACACCCCTCATAGCATTTGTCACAATCCCAGCTATTTGAGTGATTAGCAGTATCTGTCTAATCCTGTCTCTACAGGACAGACAATGAGTCTGCCCTCCCCACCAAAGGACGTGAGCCCCAGTCTCTGGCGCGCAGAGGGCAATTGCTGATAGAGAAGTAAATAAATGAATGGGTGCTCTTGGAAATCAAAAATTAACCATGGGGTAAGCAATCGATTGAAAATGTTACATCAACAAAACACATACTCCTAACCTCTAAGTCTAAAAACAGGAGCTCTGAGGAGCTCTTTTTTCCACAAATAATAGGAAGCAGGAAGAGCATTAAAATAAAGAACAGAGGATACTCACTGGTGAGGGCTTCTTTCTCATCTCGAAAGTGCGCATAGCACCAAAACTGAGGGATGCAATGACAGGGCACCTCCCAAGCGAGGGCTCATTGTCACTGTGCCAGTCCACACTGTCCTTCTCATTGCGGTAAAGGTTGCAGAGCAAGGAGTTGAAGGTGTGGCCGGTGTTCTCTTCAATTTGGTTCTTTAGTGTGCACAGCACAGGATGCCACTGCAATCCACAGGCCAAGAGAGGGAGCAGAGAGTTCACATGAGACCCAAAATGCAGCCACATGGAAAACAAGAAAGTGCAAATCAGCCAAATCATAACTAAGGGCATGGGAAGAGCAGACCACTTGCAACACCATAAACAGAAGCAAGAGACTAGTATGATGCTTCCCATTGTTTCTATTTTGGCCCCTCCATTTCATTTAGGAACAGCACTGTCAAGGGGACCAGGGATAGCTACCCATGTCATCCTTTCCACATTACATACATGAGTCTTGCAAAGAAGCAACTGTCAGTATTACATTCAGGGCAGGCCCCTTGGTGGGCGGCTAAGGTGGTAAGTGGCGCTGAGACTAGATGGCAGCCAGGTAGTTGGCAGATACAGACTGAAGTCTGAGGAGTGAGACAACTTTTCTGCTGCGTGGCCCTCTGTTCATTCCATTCCTATTTTATCATCAATGGCACAAGTGCTTTTTAAAAAAGATGTTGAATATTTCCACAGTGGCTAAGTTCCTAAAAACAGAATGTGAAGGGGAAAAACATTCTACAGACTGGAATCACGACATGGTCTGAATAAGCGTACGGGCTGTGAACTACAGGAGGCTCAAGCAGATGCCACACTCTGGCCCCTGGGCACCCAGTTTGCTTACGCAGTTTATATTTGGAACTCATTGTCTTACCACATATACTATAGGAAGCTCTGACCCCTGAACTACAACCAGCCTAGTCCATACTGGTTCTTAGAATTCTTTCTTCCAAATAATCTCAAGGGCTTTACAGAGCTTCCCTTAGGATAGTGGTTCTCCAATTTTATACTATCAAAACTCATTTAGCACCTCAAACAACTTGTACATATGGGTTAAAGTTATAATATTCACCATATTAAGAGTTAAAACTGAAAAAAATTTAAACTAGGTTAAGTCATTGAATGAACAATAAGCCCATTAATGTTAACATAAATACCTATTTATGAAAAACAGCTCTATTTTCCAATACAAAAAATTGATGTGAAGAGGGACAGTTTTGCAAATATCTTTAATGTGTGGCTTAAATGAAGGAGTTAATTGTCCTATCTGCTTCTGCATCCAGCCAGTACAGTATGTTGTTTCGTTGAAGGCTATGAAGAATACTTGCTTCATCTAGATATGTTGTTAGAAAGGGTAGTCTTTCTATTGCTTTTCCAAATAAGTATATTCTTCTTGGATAATGTATCAAAACTCAACAAGTACTGATTTCTTAAAGGTTAGCTGCTATGGGAAATCGGGAACCATATCAACAAACTCTTCATGTTCTCTTACATTTAAATCCATTGGTCCAGTTTACACCGCCACGGGACCTTTTAACCTCACATAATTCTGTAACTTTCTAGGCTGGTGATTTGGGAAATCTTGGTTTTCTGAGTTATGGAGTTATAACTGTTGATACATTTCATTATATAACACCAAAAAAAAAAAAAAATCATATCCACTAACATTACCACTGCTCTCACTAGAGAAGTCTTGCCAAGTAACAGGCACAGGTCAGAATCAGTGGAGTGGTGATGATTTTTTCCAAAATTCTCTAACATTTTTGCTTGAAAATTCTACTTTCATCATTTGTAACAAATTCTGTTCATTGTTTTTCCTGAAGTGACACTCGTTCCATTTATGAGAACATGTCCACCAAACACTCATGTCTGAATAACTATAATATTTTCTGCCAGTTGTTCTTTGAAGCAAAAATGGCTCACAAAAAAAGCTGGCTGGCTGAGACTTTGACTTAGAAGCAATGCGAGCTCGTCCTCGACAATCACCATGACCCGCTTTGCAGCAGGCGTGCTTGAAGCACACCTCCCATTTCATCAAGCAACTAGTAAAGAGACACTTGCTCAAAGATGATGATTTAATAAAACTAGTAATAGTTACTGCTCCCATGAAGGAAAGAAATGAAACCAGCATTTTTTAAACTGGAAGTGCATGTGGTGCAGAGTTACTAATCCAATTTGGTGACTGCTGATTCCCACCCTGGCACCAGCAGTTTTATCCACCATTATTTTTGGACCACCAGTGCAAGTTCAAGACGGTGAAATGGCACAGTCTTTGTATGTTACAAAAATAGTTTTGACTTTGTAGCGTTCCAAAATGGACTTCATGGATACCTCTCCCCCAGGGGGATTATACTTTTTAAAAACTCTACTCTATAGAAACTCTGCAAAGTCCATGTTCTATGCCTGGTAGTAAAGGAATAGGCACCCAGGAAGGAAATGCCTCTGTCATCATTAAGTATGTGCCACGGCTGCCATCAGGTAAAACTGCCAGGGAAGCAAACGTGACAATCATTCAGCTCCACTGTGATGTGGGCGCCATGGGGAAAGCTGGGGCTCCTTACTATAGAAATTAGTATTACACTCTAAGTACAGATTCAAAAAATATAAATAAGAACAAACAAAACTCAGATCAATAAAACAGAAGTGTTATTAAACTAAACTATGTTCAGGAGAATAAATTTCAAAGTGAAATTCCATAATACTACTAACAAGCTGAATTTTCTATTTATTTCATGGCTGTAAGCTTAACTTCATGGAATGAAGATCAGATGCTAGAATTATACACTTAACAAGAAAAACAAGAATGTAAAGGAGAAGGTAGTTTTTCTGCAGTGTGACTGAGAAACTAATTAGCACTTTTCTGACTTGCTTAGGGACTGAGTGCGGTGATATATATTTTTTCTAGGTTATTTTCGGTGGTGAAGTAAGGAGAAAAACGGGATAATGAACTGGAGGATTAATTTAGACTCTCCAGCCAATACTCTATATTCAGACCCCTCAGAACTGCACGTCTAAATTAAAATTCAGCGTCATCTCACGGCTCCGTGAAGACAGTCTATCCTTAAAAGACATCTGGAGAAAAGAGCATGAGAAAATATGAACCATAGAAGTAAAAGGACCATTCAGAGACTTCAGACAGTGCTCTACAGAGTCCTGTGTGCCACAGGGGTGCCTCTGGGATTACAGTAGGAGAAAGGAGAGGTCAAACTGGCAAGACTCCCAGTCAGTCAATGCCCTCTTTCACTTTCACAGACTGGGTTCAAGTAAGATTCAGTTTGAACAAAGACTAAAACAAATTGAATAACCTGTGACTGAATCTGCACCTGTGCTATGGGATATTAAGCTTGAGATAATAATTTTAAAATTAAACAGTACCCCCGACACAAATAGACATGCATTAGTGAATCCTCCTTAGAAAAATCTAAGAATGGGGCATCTTTTGATTTTGTTCAAGGTGGTATGTAAATAAACTAATTTATTAGCAGTAAACAGGGAGTTATGAAGCAGCCAAATTCAAATTAAAGAATTTTAATTTGACAACCTCCACGTCCAACAGAAGTCTTCCTTTTGAATAAATAACAGCATACATGGATTACGGGATACTGTATGCAGTTGTTAAATGTGACACTGTAGAAAAGCACTTAATGATACCAAAACATGTTGATGATATAATTACATGTAATGTAACATATAGAATTGATTTCATTTTTATAGAAAAATTCTTTCTTTGTATTTGCCTAAAATTAAAAAAGACTGGAACCAAGCCATCAAGTGGAAGAATTATCCAAAATTTTAATATTCTTCACACTTATCTGCAGTTTCAAAATTTTCAATAGCAAATACATACTACTTAATAAGAAAATTTTCATCAAAAAAAAAAATTCTTCTGAAGAGTTGTCAAAGTGTCTCCAGAGAGTAAGAGGCCACTAGACTCAGAGCTCTCATGTCTTCCCTTTGTTCTAAAGCAGTGTTGTCAATGGGGGGGTGACTGTCCCTACAGATGTCTGACAATGTGTGGGGTCATGATTTGTTGTCATGACTGGGTGAAGGGTGCTCTGGGCATTTAGTGGGCATTACAGATACTGCACTGGGTCATCACAAACACCCTGCATTGCATAGAACCCCACAACAGAGAAGAGCCAGCTCAAAACATCAATGAGATCACAGCTGAAAACTCTTGTTCTAAGAGATTAAACAGAAAAAAAACAAAGAATTTCTTCCCCACAGTTTGTTTAATCCTCAACTATTCTGCTTGACTTCTGACAAGGTCAGTTATTCTCACAGAAACACGACCAGTGGGCCATGCTGGATGGGCCTGCTGCACTTCTCTCCAGGTTTCCAAAAGAACCTCAGATTTTAGGAGTTCACTACTTTCCTGGGTCACATTTTAAATGCAGGCGTAGAACCCAAACATACGGCTACCCCCTTATTTGAAAAGCCGGGTTCCCTCCACCCCTTCAATAATTTGTCCCGGAACATTTTAGCAAAGTAGCAATTTATGATTACAAATTACTAGAAACTCTAAAATGTGTCACATTCCTGTTTATCTCAATGCCATAAGCAAAACTCCATTTTCTTCAAAGTCTCTTTCAATAAGCATAACGTCATTTGCCAAAGGCAAGATTCCAGGAATTTAACAGGCAGCTATTTCTTGAACCTTAACTCCATCCTCAGACAAGCTTAATTTATATACCAAAATATCTTTGTCTACTGTCATGGAAATTTTTTGAAACAAAAGAAACAGTAGAAACAAGCCCAAATAACTGAAAACTGCAGCCATAAAATGAATACAAAGTGAACAAGAAAAACAGCAGATTTTTCCACATTAGCAAGAGTCCGAGAAATGGTGTACACAGAGGGCTACATCAGAGCTTGGGATAGGGGTAGACTAGGAAAAGAAATGATTCAATCTCCTGAAACCCTGGTTCCAGTTACTGTATTCTAGTTTCTTATCCTCCGTTCATCCATGGACAAAAAGAACATCAAGGATGATAAGCACAAACACTCAGTGTTTGAACGCAAAGAGTTGGTTGTTGTTGTTGTTTTCAGTTAGGAAGCTTCATGCAGCGCTACAAGGTAATGTGTTGTTTTATAGCACTCTACATTTACAGTATATAGTCTATAAAGCCATATCAACAATATTTCAACATACGTGAGGATTTGGTTCCATAGTGATTCTTGAGTAAGTGTAAGGAAGTTCTCCATACCATGCTGTAAGTCTTGGTTGCAGGTAAGTTACATCTAAGAAAGAAAATACAGGGCCTTTGAAATGGTTTGGTGCATTTGAGGTCTGATGGCACTGAGTGCCAACACCAGGCCTTGCAACGTGCAAGAAGCCGTGGGAAATACAAAGAACAGTAGGGATGGGCTTTGACAAAGGTTCCACCTTCCCTGAAGATACAGGACTCAGGAGTAGAGAGGCTAACAGTTAAAAAAAGACAAGAGGAGGAGGCAGGCTGGCGGGAAGAGTATGGACAAAGGTTCTGAGGTATGAATGTGTGTGACGTGTTTGTCAGTGAGGACAGACGCGAGAGTGAAGGAGTCACACTGTGGAAGGGTGGGGTTCATGTGAGGGAGGGTCTAAAATGCAGGGTACGGAGATTGAACCCTTGTAAGTAGAAGTTTGTGGCATCGATATCCACGTGAGAAACTAAACAAACTGCTCTCCTGTGCGCCCAGCATTGTATAAGCCTTTTGATTCCAAACAAAGACAAAAGTGCTCTGACCAACCACAGCATATAGCTGAGTTCAGAGTAAATTTCTGACATACAAGTTATTTAGAGAGGAATTATCCAGCAATCTGCTATTCTTCCCACTATTGATATCAACCACCACAACAATGATCACTAAAACAGCCGAAGTGACTGAAGACGTTCTGTGTAACAGGCCTTCTGTTAAGCACTTATTGTGCATTATCTCATCTATTAGCACAACAACCTTAGACAGGAATTTTTTTTTTTAAAGATTTATTTATTTATGCATACAAGAGCTGGGGTATAGGCCAGAGATGCTGGGGGTGAGAGGATTCACCAGAGACAGAGTGAGGAAAAGAACAGGCAGACTGACTGAAATACACTGCTGAGGGGAGCAGCGGGCAAGACAGGAGAGGTCTGCTGTGCCATGTGGGTTTCTCTCTGGCGGGCCGGGGATTGAACTTGTGCTACAGAGGCTGAGGATTGCTTCATAGTGCAGTGCTTAACCCCTTGCACCACTAGGAAGGCCCAAGACAGGAATTATTAACTCCCTTTTACAGATCAGAAAAGCGAGGGCTGAAAGGTTACTTAACTATAATTTGCTTAAAATTAACAATTACTTTGAATGACAAAGCAAACAATGAAAGCCAATTCTGACACAAAAAGCCCTGCTGTAAAAACTGGGGAGAGTTGGAAGAAGATTGGCTGCCCTGAGAAAGCTGACTCCTATTCTATGTTTAAGTCACAAAAGTGAAGTCAGTACATACTTTGCCTCTTTACAGAAAATTTAAATTCACTCCAAGTGAATTCCATGAAGGAAATTCCATGCTAGAGCACAGGCGCCCTCCAGTGACAACTTCTGGTGTAGCAGGCACTGCAGCTCACGGAAGCCCCAGGGGGAGCAGGTTCTAATCAGGTCATCTTACCAAGCTCAGGAGAGTATAGATGTTAAAGCTAAAGGGGCCTGGACTCTGCTAGTGAAGCCAAAATGAAGATAAAAAGCCAGTAAGAAGGATCCATGAAAGAATGTATGCCAAACATGGTCAGAAAAGAGAACTCAAGAAGTTTCTATGAAGAAAATGGAAAGTTGGCATCACTGGAACTTAGCAAAGGCAGTTAGCAAAGACACACAAAGGGAGATAAGTAGATCAACCACAGTCGGCCAACCCAAATTCCTTTGGTCCTTAACTCCATACTCCTGCCATGTTCTCTCTGGTCTCTTAGTCTTCCACCTGCTGTTTCTTTTGCCTGAAAAATCTTCTTTCCTGGCCCCGCTGCATGGCCTGCATGGCTAATTCCTACTTATCCTTAGGGACTCAGTCAGGTTTTGAATCTCTTTTTAAGACTGGCTATGGTGAGAAGTGGCAAATTTATTAGAAAACATTCCCGAAAGGGAGACCAAGAGTCAATAACTGCAATCTCAAAGGTTCACTTACCCTCTCTGATGCCGGTCCTCTGCTTCCAGGGAATATCTTGACAAAGCTGTTTGAATACCAGGTCGGCTTCTTTTAAGTCAACAAAGCCAGGATACAAACACACCCTTGAAGCAGAAAGAACCCTTATTAACACAGAAAAGGTGGGTCAGATTCTAACTATTAGCAGAGTCAGTTAATCAGGAGGTTTCCTTTTATGGATAGATGAAATCATCTTTGCCACACCTCCCATGGTGAGGAAAGAATTGTATCACCCAGGTCATTATGCGCTAGGTGTAAAATAAACTCCTTTCATGTTAAGACAAACAAAAGAGACAAAGAAGGAAAAAGGGGATAATGAGGCCTTTTATAGACATGGGTCAAACGTTGCTCCAGCACTGCTGGGCTGTGAAACTTTGGGCAAGCTTCTTTCTCTCTCTGAATCTTAGTTTTCTCCTCAGTAACATTAAGAACCTCACAGGATCACTGAGAAGAATAAGTAGAATAACTCATAAAATAAATGCCTGGCCCTGTGCAGGGAGTCTTCTAAGACTATACTAATTGTAAGGAAAGTTAGAGATTATTATGACAGTCTCAAAGTAAAGCTATCCAATCAAGGGCTCCTTCTCTGATTGAATATACGCCAAGCTCAGAATTATTTTGGAAATCCTTTTTAAGAAATGTTCTGAAACGCCATTCATCTTCGAATGTGCCTTTGAGTTTCTGAAAATCAAAGCTCACCTGAGGTCATACCTGGTTAGCAATGAGATATGAGTAAAATAATGTAACTGTGTGACTGTTAAACTTGCTTTGAAATGAGGTTCCAAAAAAGGTGATAACAATGGCAGTGACTTGGAGTAATTAAGATTTCCATGTTCAACAGGAGAAGCTCTTTCTTTCTTTCTTTCCTCCCTTCCTCCCTTCCTCCCTTCCTCCCTTCCTCCCTTCCTCCCTTTCTTTCTTTCTTTCTTTCTGATTTATTTATTTGCATACAAGAACCGGGGTACAGGCCAGATGCATGGGAGGGTGAGAGGATTCACCGGAAACAGAGCGGGGAACAGAACAGGCAGACTGACGAAATACACTGCTGAGGGGAGCAGCGGGCAAGACAGGAGAGGTCTGCCGTGCCATTTGGGATTCTTGCCGGCCGGCTGGGATCGAACCCACGCTGCAGAGGCTGTGGACAGCTTCACAGCGGTGCGCTCAACCACCTGTGCCACCAGGGGAGGCCCAGGAGAAGTTGTTTCTAAGCAAATCATTTAGATATGTTAAGTTCTGATGAAGTGTCTCATTATATAACGAAAATTGGCATACTTATACAAAATAGTACATGCTTTTAACTTTACTGAAATCCACCTACACATGAGAATATCACTTAATATATACCCTCTATGTAATACAATAATATAATAGTAACATGTGTAATGTAATATAACATAAAACCCTCAGCAGAAAAATCAGGGCTGGATCCAATTCTTAAAATCAACTTACTGCGTGGCACTAGGGAAAAGTACTCAATCTCCCTGGGCCTCCCTAGGGTCCTCATTTGAAAAACTGGAGTAGTAGTAGTTAGAATATCTGACAGAGCAGCTGTGAAAATGTTTTGAAGCTGGAAATAGTATATAAAAGGAGGTATTATGAAATCTTTGCTCCCTAAGAATTCAAGGGGCAAAAGATACCTATTTCAAGCAAGGGAGTAGAATATTGTAAGTGATTATAATTCGGTGATCACCATAATAACTCCCTAGTGAAGATTCACTTACCGAGATACCCCTGTGGGCACCAGGCTGATTTCATACACACCCTCTTTGCTAGAGGAAACAAAGAAAACAGACCGATCAGTATCAGGCAAAACAATACACCTCACCCCATGGCAGGGTTGTCCCTTAGGGTTCCCAAAGCCCTGATTCACCAATCATTTAACAATAAGGGTGCGAGACAAAGCATAACCCCACCTTCTTTTAACACTGAGGTAAGGGGCAAGACGGTGGTGTTATCTTAATGGCAGTAGGAACAGAACCCTGACAGGAGACAATGGGATAAAATAAAGTGTGACAAAATAAAGTCTTTGTATTTCACCCAAAATTTAGACAGATAAAGTTCAGGAATCTATCACACAAAGATATACCAGGAGAGTATAGAGTCTTTGCAGACTCTAGAGTAGGGATGTATTTAATGGGCAGCAAGGACATTCAGGGCTCTGAGCTTCTGTCCTGTCAAAGATAGCTGTCTAATGAGGTTCTTCTTCTGATTAAAATTCTTCAAAGGCTTCCCATCAGCTTTCAGCTTTGCCTGCAAGGTCCTCATGACTTAGCTCCATGTCCTTAGCTTACTTGGACTCATCATCCTCCAGCAGCAACTAGTGCTTGGAATCTACACCATGTTTCAACCTCATGCTTTTCTGCATGCTGGAAAGCCTCCCTGAACCAGCCTCCCCACCCCAACCCAATGCCCCATCTTTGGTCCAATGGGAAATTCTAATTCAGCCTGCAAAATCTCAGCTCAGCATCATCTTCTGTAAATCTTTCCCAACTTTTTACCCATCCAAATAAAAGTGACCATCTCATACCTGTGCCTAGGCCTCACCTTGAGCCTACTATTTCATGATATACAGGATTATAATTGACTTATCTGATTACATGTCTACTTCAACTACCAGACATGGGCTCCCAACAAGCAAGGAATGGGTCATTACTCCATTGCACAGCGCACAGCACAAAGTAGATGGACAATAAAACCTTACTGAACTTAATCACATTTGCAAAAGTGCAAAATGTTGTAGATGTGCAAGGCAGTGAGGTCATGGTGAGAAAAGTGATCCAGACTGGACAGGTGTCTTTATCAAGAAAATTGTGTCACTTCTCCAAGTAAGATATACACATGGCTAACAGACACATGAAAAAATGATCAACTTTAGTTATTACAGGGAAATGCAAATCAAAACCAGATGTCATCCCACACTGTGAGAATGACCTATATAAAAGACTGGAAACAACATGTGTTGCTCAGGGTGTGGCAAAAAAAGAACTGTTAGTGGGAATGTAAACTAGTGTGGCCTCCAGGGAAAACAGTATGGAGAGTCCTTAAAAATCTAAAGACAGAAATACCATACATCTGCTAGGCATTTATCTTAAGAATATGAAAATGTTAATTCAAAAAGATTTGTGCACCCCTGAGTGGACAGCAGCATTATTCACAGTAACTAAGAAGCAGAAACAACAGAAGACTGGAGACTCCTTGGCTATTTGGGACAACAAGGGTAGTACCAGAGGTGATAATTAAGTCAGAAGTGAGAAAGCGAAGACAGTGACCACACAGTTTTTTTGGTATGTGGAATATAAACAACCAAAGCAAACAAACTAACAAATGTAACTCCAAGACTGTGAAAAATCTAGTGGTTATCAGAAGGGAAGGGAGGTAGTGGAGGAAAGACAGAGGACCTGGATCTGACAGTGGGAAGGTGCCAGAACTTTGGTGGGGGGTGAGGTGAGGTTATAAACAAGAGGTGAAAATGTACTCCCCAATTTATCTGGTAATGTAAATTAATGGTAAACCAACAAAATTTTACTAAGAAAAAAGAAAACTGTGTCAGATCCTTCTCAGAAAGAAGTAAGTTCTAGAGAATAATGGGAAAGGACATTTCCCTCTGCCATGTCAGCGAGTAGTTCATGAGCTCTGGCTGGGCGCCAGGATGAGCCGAGCCCAGCAGATATTGCCATACATATTTATCACTTTTCTAGATGAGCTGCTTTTCAAGTAAGTACCCCAGAGTGTAAGTAAATGTTTTAATGTGATGTATTTGAGGTCACATTTACAAACTAGCTTACTTCAAATGTGGGTGATATTGAAAACAAATGTGGTACAGCTAATTTTAGATAACCAAAATCAATAGACCCTAGGGCCAAGGAAGAATGACTTCTGTCATTTTGCTCTAATGCACAAATTTACAATTGCCCATTTCTTCAGCCTGATGGTCCATCTGAACCTTGTAATGGGTTTCATGGTTTTATTTCCTTTCTCACCTGTGGAGGCACTAACACATTGCATTTGTACTAACACATTTGTAAAAACAGTTGAAAACTGTTAAGAGTTACTAGACTGGGCCTTCAGTGATCATGTAGTTTAACCTTTAACATTACAGACAAGAAAAGTCATGCAGAGAGAGGGCAGTAACTTACTTATGGATTACTTACCTAGTGGCAAGGCCACAACCTCACACCCTCTTTGAAAGCATAACATTTGTGCTAGTTTCAAATTTTTTTAAGCTATACAAGTCAACCTGCAAACTAAACAGCTTACCAGACTGTTCATGGGGAGTAACACACACAAAACTCCATCTGCAAAAATAAAAGGATGCTCCTACTGGCAGATGGAAAAAAAAAATCAGGGGGAAAAAAGTGAAAGTATCGCTCATTAATTTTGAAAAAGAACACTGATCAATATTAAAGGAATGCTTACTATTATGTCAATTGCTCTGAAATAATTATGTGGTTTTAATAAATGAACTGCAAGGTCATTTAGATTTCTAGCAGCTTTCACAAACACTGCTAGCAAAAGACCCACGCTTCAATGAATTTGGAAAAATCGCCCTTTGTCTTTCACTGGAAGATATTTTAGCTTAATGTCTGCAGATATATTAGTGAAATAGGGTCAGGAAATCTATACCAAAGTCAAAGTTTAATGTGCAGGTATCTTGTTGCATTTTCCACATCAGCAAATTCAAAAAGATTTCTCAAAAGACCTAATTTAAAAACATCTGAGATAGGAACATCTCAGTCTAAAATTAAGACACTAATTGGGCTGTTAGCTCTTCCAGATGGAAAAACCAGGATGAAGGAAAGATCCTGGGCTCTCCATTTCACTGTGGGCAAGAGTTACGGGAAGGCAGCAAATTACTTACTCAATCACTCGAGGTTCTGGGGCTCTGCGTACTGCCTGCAAGAAAATAAGATCTTCTGGAACGAATCCTACTTCTGGCGAGGGCGGGGGTGGGGGGGTAAGGCAGGTGGGGCGGGGAAGGGTTCTTGTTTGCAGGATTACATTATCCTCTCTCATTTCTGGTCAAAATAAAAATAAATCAGGTCTAAAACTATCCCTTTCTTATTCCAAGCTCTTACTATCCCACTATAATCCCTTGTTTCTACCTTTCAATTAGAATTAATCCATTGTCCTAGCTGCCAGAAACTCTGGAAAAACCTTTCTAGGAGATTTATAAAAATGGAGGACATACTATAAAATAAAGGATTTTAATCATTATTTATGCAATCACTACTATAGTAAGATGCCTGATTTCTAGTGCTTTTTTCTATGTTACTAAAAACAACGAATTTTCACTGTTTCTTACATTTTTATCTGGCATGGGAGAGGGAGCTAAACAACCAGGCAATGAGGTAGCTTAAATTTCAATACAATTCCAAGGACATTTGTTGCAAAAGCACTGAAGACACCATGGTTGGTTTTAGAACCATCAGAAGTGAGATGACCAATACAATCTCTAGTCTAGTTTAGGACTTTAAGAACTGGGATAATCTCTAATCATGGTATAGACTTCTTGCCAAAAATGGGAATTACATCACATGCCCATTACTTGGGGGCAGGCTACAAAAAATCTTCAGACATATTAAGGAACTAATACTTCCCATTTCGTTATGGTATGAGTCACTCTCTTTTTATTAGTGAATTCATTCAGTCACTGTTTGAGAATCAGCTATGTGAATACAGCTTTTATGTGCAAATCATTGTTTTATTGTTGAAGGAGATGCAAGAATCTACCTGCTGGGGTTCTTTGAATACAAACAGTCTGTCAGACAGATGAGGATCCTTGTTCATCCAGGTCTGACCAGGCTTCTGGTGGAGATGACTCCTAGCAGTTGTAGCTGAAGCAAGAGAGAGAACAGACTCAAAGCAGGGGAAAAATATACACTCATCTACCTTCTATTGTGCGAGGACTAACAAAATCCACCTGCAGATGACCTACATAGCAGCTAGACATTACTTAATGAAGCCCAGACACTGAAAAGTTTGAGAGTAGTGACTAAACATGAGGAACAACACCAAAGATCAACTCCTAGCACACTGTCAACAAAGCCAACAAACTACCAGTCACATTTTAAATCATTCTTTAACATCAACTGAAATGGAAGTGTTATAAACCACACCCACACCCACACATGCACACATATACACGCATGCACGCACAAACATCCCCCACTGGTTCTTGCCTGGCTGAGCAACTGCCTGGCTCTTTGCGGGGCCAGCCCAGGCTCCCTGCACTCGGGCTCGCCGTCTTTTGTCCTCCATGTTAACCAAAAAGGCTTCTGCTCTTAGCTTCCAGATGATTTCATCCTGATTTAAACCACACAGTGGTTATCTGTTTAAAAAAAAGGGGGGGGGATTTTAGTTAGGGTTGTGAAATCTTGGCCGACTAAGAGGTAATTATTCTCTTAGGCAGAAGCAGTTGCTCAATGACAATTATAGTTTTTACATAAAATCATTTGTGTCATCACAACATCACAAAGTGACGAAGTCACTCAGGGCCGGTGGTTTTAATATTTCTCTCCTGCAATCTTACAGATCATTTGCTTCATTCACAAGAAAGTGCACGTCAAGAAATTCTAAAACCAGAATCTACCATAAACCACATAATTCTTATTAGTTCCCGAGAGAAGAACATAAAGTATAACACCCCTGCACCTGCATGGACATTAAGAAATAGCCGAGAGCCTCTGTGGTGGCGCAGTTAAGACACAACCTATGAAGCTATCCCCAGCCAGGGAGCTACCCACATGGTGCAGCAGACCTCTCCTGGCTCGCCCGCTGCTCCCCTCAGCAGTGTATTTCAGTCAGTCTGCCTGTTCTGCTCCCCACTCTGTTTCTGGTGGATCCTCTCATTCCCCGCATCTCTGGCCTGTACCCCAGCTCTTGTATGCATAAATAAATAAATCTTTAAAAAAATTCTTTAAAAATAAATATATAAAAAATAAAACACCCATGGCCTGCCTCCAGAAGCTCTGATTTAAGATGGCTACAGGTGTTTGTCTTTGTAGCCAGCACTGTAGGAGACTGGTATTAAGCAAGTATGTGAGAACCACTGCTGAAGAGATAACCCAAAGTAACTCAGAAAATCAATAGCAAGCAGATTAACATTCAGATTTCATTAAATTCTAGTGTTCAGCTCATTGAAAATACCCACTTCACACTGGCCAGTAATACCAATTTGCCATTTGTGCCAATGAAATTTTAACTCACAGCAAAAACAAAAGCAGGTAGATTCAGGCCACAAGTTCTGAACCTATGATCCAATCTTTCTGGGTCTATTTATGAAAGCCTCACATTTCAAGGTCTCAAAGGTAATCAGCCCATTTTATTGCTTGTGTAGACCACAGATTCCTAGCCCTCATACCCAGCCCTTCTGACTCACTGAAGCTGATCTGCTACCAGAAATCTTTATGTTTAACAAATTCCCCAGGTGATACGTATGTAATTCTTATTTAATAGGTGGAGAGAGGAGGAAGGCGGCTGCCTTCATAGTTGGCTAAATCAAATACTAGCTCTCCAGTCCCACACGATTTGTAGCGGTCGCCGTAGTTTGACAATTCCTTTCAGCTGTGGCCTTAAAACCCTAACAACAGTTAGTTGTAGTAGCCGGAGGGGCTATGACATGCCCACCTTCTTCAAAGCTCTTTTCACAGGGGAGCGAAGTGGTTGACGCCAGGAGTAGCTGTTGACTCCAGATTCAAAGAGCATCACCCTAGACCTGCCTAACGCAGGGAATCCCCAACACTTTGCTAAATAACCCTGCCCTGGGCCTCCCAGGTGGCACAAGGGGTTAAGCACCGCACTATGAGGCTGTCCACAGCCTCAGTAGCACGAGTTCAATCCCCCGCCGGTCAAGGAGCAACCCACATGGCGCAGCAGACCTCTCCTGCCTCACCCGCTGCTCCCCTCAGCAGTGTGTTGCAGTCAGTCTGCCTGTTCTGCTCCCCACTCTGTCTCTGGTGAATCTTGTTAGGGAGAAATGATGTCCTGAGCTAATCCCATACAGGCTTTGTGGACTCCACTCCCAGTCCAGACTAAAGCCATCAAGACATTGGGAAAGACAAATCCCGTCACCACCAAAGGGAGGGTGGCTGGGACCTGAGGGTAGAGTTGGGCAGCCAGGTTGGATATAAAAACCAAACACGTGGGCCTTGGGGGGCTTGCTATTGCTCGCCTCCTGGCTTCACGGCTCCTGGCTTGCAGCCAGCTCTCAGAGTGCCATTTGGGATTCCAGATCGGCGGATTGGGTAGGACTCCTTTAAAACTTTGTCTCCCACTTTTCTCCCTGAGCTGTACATTTCCTCATTTCCCCTTCCCTTGTAAATAAACCTTTTATTAACCTTTCGCATGTGCCTGCAGTAGAGCATTGGTAAGTCCTTTTAAGCGCGCGGGTGAGGACCCACAGTCAGGCACCCCGTTTTGTATCGGGGTTGCTCTACTCCCCTTCCCTTGTAAATAAACCTTTTATTAACCTTTCGCGTGAGCCTGCAGTAGAGCACTGATAAGTCCTTTTAAGCATGCGGGTGAGGACCCACAGTCAGGCACCTGATTTTGCATCGGGGTTGCTCTACAACACTCTCACCCCCACATCTCTGGCCTGTACCCCAGCTCTAGTATGCATAAATAAATCTTAAAAAAATTAAATAAATAACCCCGCCCTACACCCCGGGATTCCTTGCTCACTTGAAACTTGAGAACCCCGCTGCAGTGCAAAACTGGCGCCTCGAAGCGGTTTGAACCCACATGTGTTACTCCCCAGAAGCACGACCAATATAGCAACTGACTTCACCTTGCCGAGGCGCGGCTCTTTCCTTTGTGGTCAAAGTGCACATTAAACGACCTCGGCAGGCGAAAGGGCAGGTCCTCAAGACCGGAGAGCATCAGCCCCCATTGCAGACCCTGCCTCTCCCGGAGGCCCGCGACGAGTCTCACAGGTTGCCCGCGAGGCGCCCTCGGGCGCGGCCCCTCCCTAGCCCGGGACACCCGCGCGAGCCGGAGGCCGCCCCTGCCGGGGAGCCAGGCGCGCAGATTCAAACCCCAGCCGCCCCGGAGCGGACCCCCAGGCCCGGATCCGCCCCCCGCCCGCGGCCCGGGGAACTTCAAGAGCGACGCACCGACTCCCAACAACTCCCAACCATAGGCCGCGGCGTCGGTCACGTCCCATGAACGTCACGCCTCTGGCGTCACTTCCGGCGCCACTGTTAGGAGTCCGGGTGGCTCCACGCGGCGCCCGCGGCGAGGGCCGGGTCGGAGAAGTGGCGCGCGGGTGGAGCGGGGTGCGGGCCCGAGCTCGGGGATCAAGTGCGCGGTGGAAGCCGGTGAGCAGCCGGGATATGGCGAAGGTGGGGAGGAAACGTGTTCCCCGGACCGAGCCCTTCTGGGGGTCACCGCCACCCCTCCCCATCCAAACTGGAGACGTCCGAGCGCCAGAGTCTTTGCTTCTCTGGGGAAAGAGCGATCGAGTCCCCAGCACGGCTGGTGGAAAGTGAGGCGCTTTGGGGAGCCGAGACTATTAAATTCTGAAAGCCTTGGAGGGTCTAAGATGCCCCTCCTCGCTGTTTTCCTTGTGCTTCCCCGATCCTGCCAGTTACTGCAGGCCTTGGGTCCACGCCTTCGTCGTCACGGCGCCTCCAGTGCTAAGTACATTTTGTTTTGAATGAACAGATTTAAATTTCAGTCCAGCTGCTACCATGTAATATACGGGGTGTATATAATCTAGGGCAGGTACTCAATTTCTCGATAAAATAGGTATAACTCCTGTTGGGAGAATAAAATGAGATAATGTATTTAGAGAATTTAGTGTGATAGCTGGAATCCAATAGAACGTCAATAAATATTAAGAAATGTTCTCTTCAGTCCAGTTCTTGAAAAACCAAAGTGACCAGGTTAAACCTTTAATGTGGAAAATAGCAAAAGCATCTCTGAGTCAACTAATTTAGGCAGGTGATTCTCTGAGATTAGCCAAAGCAGTCCCTGTGGAAGTCTTTAAAATAAGCATAGCTTTATATATATATATATATATATATATATAGTAAGCAATATATATATATAGTAAGCAATATATATATCATATATATACTGATATATATATATTCCCCATATATATATATACTGATATATATATATATATATACTGTTCACCAGCAGGAAGCTCAATGTACTTATATTGTTACCACTGTTATATCTAATTTTCACAGCATCCATTATTCCTTGTTTTACTTTGTGACATTGAAGGAAAAATGATTTATCCTGTAACTGAAAGAGAAAAGTGGTATTGTTAGGGGGAAAAGGATGTCACGGTATGGCCAGACTATAATTTTTTTTATCTCCTCCCTTCTATCTCCCCAACTAGTAATTTGTTAGTATCTCCTATTGCTTCTGGAACTTTGGCTGTATCTTCGAATGGGGATGTCATTTCTTTTCAGTGATTTTGCTTTTGGAATAGGAACAAAAGTCTTCAGCCTCCAACTAGCCTGTTTCTCTAAAATCAATCCATGGCCTGTTTGCATCCAAAATAGCTACATTTTCAACAGGATCACCTACATTTTTACCAGGTGCTGCAGGTAATTCTGATAAACAGAAATTTGAAAACCCTTAGGATGCATGTAGGGCAACATATCATTTCATTCTGTCTGAGAATGAGGTGTTTTCCAGGACACAGAACTTTTAATGCCAAAGCCAGATAAGTCATAAGCAGCTGAGATGACAGTCACCCTAGATGCCCATGAGTATGTAGTAATAGGAAAACATTCTTCATGGGTCTTGATAGTTCGGTTTTCCCAATTTCTATATGCAGTATTTGTTATTGCGGGGGGCGGGGGGTGGAGACTGTCGAAGATGGATTGGTGAGATTTGTTGCCAGTTGGTTCCTAGCTCATTGATTCTCAGCTCCAAATGCATCCTTCACTGCCCTGCCTTGCAATGCTGGAACATCTCTCCCTTGCTATTTGACCTGGTGTTAAGCTTCATCAGTAGAGGGTACTGAAGGGACAATAGAGGAGGAATGCGCTCTTCCTGATTCCAGTGTGCTCCTTTCCACTGGCTCTGCAATGCACAGCTGTGTTTGACGTCTCTGTGAGCTAAACTGCAATTCAGTCAGTAAGGCGTGGATTGGGAAGGAGTGGGATCCCAAAACTTGAAATAGGGGATCTGCTTGGACCCAGGTGAAACTGACAATCTCAAACGCCTGTCACCCTGAGCCTCCCATGGCAGTGGAACTAACTCATCTTCCTGTGTCGGAAACTAGTGCTTTGCTTGAAAACCCTGTCCTGGAGCAGATGACTTGAAAACTGCAGCATAGATCTGTACTTACTGATGGGCAGGAGTACTGCCAGACCTGTACCTGTTGGGGTTCTGCCCAGAGGCAGTGGCTTCTCCCTCCCTCTACTGTTTGTATATTCCTAGTTTTCCTTTTCCCATTGTAGGTCATACCCTATTATGCGCAATAATTATTTTTTTATTGTTTGCATTATTGTATAGTCGCTGTCTCCTATGTGAGTCCTGAATATGTATAATTGTGGTATGGGGTTTGGGAGCAATAGCTAGCAAATGACCAGCCCAGTGGTTTGCCTCTGATTTGGGTCCTTGGCATCTTGTGCTGCTCTTATATCTCTTCACCTGAAAAGCCCTCCTCAAGACTCAGGTTAGCCTGTTTGGCTGCCTTGCCTCTTAAACCAGCATTATGATTCAAACACCAGCTGCATCAGTCACTAGGAGATGCTTGTAAAAGTCAGATTCCAGGCCCCACATCAAGATTCTGTGTTAGTGGCCTGGGGCCAGGCCCAGCAATTTGTACTTTTAACCATGCTCTGTTCATTTTGCAAGAGCCTACGAGAGTTCACTCTTTTTCAGCTGCCTGCTTTCTCCAGGTGGTCACTTTTCCACTCAACAACTCTCTTATCCCCTGAATGGCAAAACCAAGAGATATTTTAAGTGCTGGTAGCTTTTAAAATGTGGGTGAGCCACACACTGCAGCTTATTTTCAGTTGCCAGTTTTCATTCCAGACTTGCCAAACTTTCCCCATTTCCATCATGTGCCGCTAGTGGAGCACCTGCTGCTGAATTCCTGAGAAGATCCAATCCAAGGGAAATAATGGTGCATCCTGCTAATAGTGCTCAGAGAAAGTACCACATAGAGAAACTCCCAGCCCATGTCTCACTGCCAAAGGCTTGGCAGTTCCCAGCTTGAAGGAGGAGGGTGCGACAGGAACCTGCCAGCCCTGCAGAATGATTGCATGGAGTTTTTCAAATCTCTGCCAACTTTAAACCATGTTGAGGGAGACAGCATACCTCCCGACTCCAGACAGGAACTCCTCCTCTTAGTGCCCACCTAAAACTGCTCTAAAATAACCTGTTCATTTTTTAAAAAAGACAGTCAATAGAAAAATATCCATACTGAAGCACATAGAAAAAGAAACAATAGAAAGCTTGGTGGAGGTTCCTGGCAGTAGAGCTGAATACAAGAACCAGATTCCAGCTAAATCACAACAGAGTGGTCCCATGCACATCCCTGACCGTGCTAGTTAGAAGTCTGTATGTCTCTATTCTCTGCATAAATTTTGACTTTTCCCTGTTATTCTATCACTTATATTAGCTTACATCATACAGAATCCTTACCTAGAAGAAATATAATTACCCAAACACCTCTGAAATGAATTTGTGACAGTTTACCTTTTAATGGAAGACTGAATTCACAAGAAGTGATCTCTCCATGGGCAAACCAAAAAAAAAAAAAAAAAGTGTAAGAAACTGAATTCAAAGTAGAGGTGGTGAACAGTGAGAAAAGATATCAGTGGATAATCTTAAGAAAATGTCTTCATCTAAAGATTCCTAATTTAATTGCATCTGCAAAGACCCTTTTCCCCGATGAGGTAACATTTACAGGATAAGGGGATTAGCCTGATATCTCTGGGGGCTATTATTCAGCCAAAGATAACATCCATCCATCCACCCATTTATCTACATTTTAACTTTATGCCAGGCTAGATTTTGAGCACTTTAGAAATATTCAATTTATGCTTACAACAATCTATGAGCTAGGGACTATTTTTCAGAGGCAAAACTAAGGTAGAGATAGGATATAACTTGCCCAAGCTATAGCATACTCACGTTCTGACCACAATGCAATTATTTATAAATCAATAACAAGATTTTAACTTTTAATTTTGAATTATCAGATTTACAAGTTTGCAAAAACAGTACAAAGAATTGCCCTTTACAGAGATTCACCAAATGTTAACATTTAAACACAATTTATTTCACAATTTTCTGTATAAACAACTTTTTAATGAACGTTTTGAGATTAAATTGCATATATCATGTCCCATTATCCCTAAATACTCTAGTGTATTTCCTAAAAATCCATGGACTTTTTAAGTACCCACAGTACAATGATCAAACTAAGGGAATTAACACTGATAAAATTCTATAACCTACAGACCTTATGTAAGTATCACCAATTGTCTCAAAAATGTCCTTTATAGCAAAATATTTTTTTCTAAGATCATGCATTACATTCACTTGTCACATTTCTTTAGCCACTTAAATCCAAAATTTGTGACAAGTTTAGGCTGCTTACTTTGTAGGATACCCTTTAATTTATTTCCTGGGGGTTAGGTTCAGTTTATTTATTTATATGTATTTGTCGGGAATACCACATTAGTGATGTTGTATCTTCAGTCCATTATCAGAATGCACATTATGTAAAACGGTCTTGTAAGTGGTGACACTAATACAAACTTTTTTAAGTATTGGTATTGAAAAAGAATATATATATACATGTACACATACATACATTGTGGGATATAGCAAAAGATATTTAGAGCCTTAGATATTTATGTAAGAATAGAAAAAATAATATATGAGTGAATTAAATGTCCAATTTACAAATTAGAAAAGTAGCAGAATAAAGCCCCAGAAAGCAGGAAAACAAAAGTGGCATAGCAGCTCAACACCAAAAGTTGATTCCTTAAAAAACACAAGTTGATCAACCAAAAGTTGATTCTTTAAAAAACACAACATCCAGACTTGTGGCAAAATAAATGGTCAAGGAAAAGGAAGTGAGAAGATACAAGGAATATTAAGAAACAATATATTAAGTACAAATCCAGCAGAAGCTTAAAAAGGAAGAAAATTACTTGAGTTACTTTAGGCTAATACACTTGGGGAAAATATATCATGAGTAAATGCTTAGAAAAATCTTATTTTCAAAACTGACCCAAGAAAAAAACAGAAGCCCTGAGTAGCAGTGCCATCTAAGCATTAACTAGTCAGTTAAGTAGTTAGCTAAACTAGTTAAGTAGTTTTAAAATCCTACCACAAATAAAAACTTGGGCTAGATGGCTTTTACAAACTTTAAAAGATTGTTCCCATATCTTTACAGATTCTTCCAGAGAACAAGACAATCCTCCCCAGTTCATTTAATGAATGAAATTATAATAGCCTTGAAAGGAAAACCATCCAATTATAAGAAACTTCCTAAATATAGATGTAAAAATTCTAAATAAAATAGCAGCAAACTAAATTCAGCATTATTTAAAAGTAGTGAAATATAACCATGAATGTATGGGTGATTTAATGCTAGAAAGTCATAACTAGACTAAGTAAGTTCTAGGAACTCTTCAGAAAATGTCACCAAGCCTATACTTCAATATGTATATACACTTTCCCACCCTTAGAACATACCAGGTATATCTCCTCAGATGCTTTGCACAGGCAGTTTACCTGGAACACCCGTTCCTCAGGTAGCAGGAAGGCTTGCTGAAGATTGTTCAAACACCTCTCATGTACTCTGTGGCAATTAAAAATCACCCACTCCCCCTGTCACACGTTAATTCCCCATCCTCCTTACTCTGCTTCATTTTCCCCACAGATATAACACTATAATACATTACTATTTCTTTTATTATCTGTCTCCTCATTTGCTCCCCCACCCCAATCAAAATGGAAGATCTAAAGAACAAGAATTTTTGTCTTCTTTGTTCACTGTAGTTTCACTAGCACCCAGAAAAGTAAATGAATACAATTGGCACTCAACAAATGCACACAGTATGTCTCAAAATTGGTGTAACAGGGAAGACAAGCTTGCCTTATACCCTGTTGGACTCCTGTTTGTATCACCCGTACTTCCGGCCACAATGACATGTAAAAGAGTGGACAAAGTTGTGACATGCCATTCACCACACTACAGTTTTTCATCCAAACTATTTGTGTCCAGGCTAGACTCAGCAAGCCATTTCTAAATGTCTTCATGTAAATCTCAATAGAATTACATTTCTACAATGAATTTTAAATTCTGTCCATATTTACAAGTTTTGCATGATGAGTGACATACAACCTAAAAGTGACATGTAACCTAATCCTTGAACTTTTAAAAATGTTTCCAACAAATTTTGTTTTTGACACTGGTAAACAACAGAGCAAAGTAAAAGAATCTAGGACCCCCTAAATCTCAGTCATTTTTGGTACCAATAGACCTTCGATGGAGATCAATAATATCATTTCTACCAATGATTTATTCCCAGCACGTGTGGGACTGGCACAAAGACCAATCAGAATGGTACATATTATGTGTGGACGATGACTCCTCTCCCATTCCTTCCATGCTAGTTCACTGAAAAGGACAATGAAAGAATAAATGAAAATCTGACTTTCTATGTCATGAGGCGAACTGATTCTACATAAATTATCAATATTCTTTTCTACTTTTTGGCCTTAAATCTTCTTTAGTATATATTAGACTATAAAACCAAATCAATATAAACTTAAGTCTAAAAATTATGCTTTGCTACTTGGAAGGCTTGGAGTACATTGGTTCCTCATTTCGTATAGTTTTTCTATTCATGCGCCAGGAAACACGGATTTCCAGGTCATCATCTTTAACTTTGAGTGTCAAATAAAAAGGTTACTTGCTCTGGGCCTCCCTGGTGGCGCAGCGGTTGAGCGCTGGGTTGCGAAGCTGCCCGCAGCCACTGCAGCGCCGGTTCGATCCCCGGCCACCGGAGGAGGGTCCCACATGGCGCGCAGACCTCTCCTGCCGCCCGCTGCTCCCCTCAGCAGTGTGCCTCAGTCCTTCTGTCTGCTCTGCTCCCAGCTCTGGTTCTGGTGAATTCTCTCACCCTCCCGCGTTTCTGACTGTACTCAGTGCTTGTATAAATAAATAAATAAAATAAATCTTCAAAAAAAAAAAGGTTACTTGCTCTGTTGAAAGAGTCAAAGCCAGAGCTCAGAAATGAGGCTTGGATTTCGTAGCCAGACACAACTATCTTCTAACTGGGATAAAAGTGTTTTGTGTAATTGTAAACCAATCCCTACCCCCAAAATCACCATTTTAACAATCGACCAACAAATGTGTGAAGGCAAAAAAAAAATATATATATATATATTGCCCACACCATTGTGATGTTACCATTTCTACACAAAATGGGAGAAAAGGGCAATAATCTGTTTTCACAAAGTAAAACTTATCCAATCTTTGACTATTCTTTCTTCTGAATTAGTGCTTCTTCTTTTGGGGGATGCTAAACTAGCTTTTATTTATATAGTGATACTAATAGCAAATGGTAATTTGAGATTTTCTCATTTTAGTTTCTTAGCTGACAAAATTAAAAGCTTTAATGACCCCAATTAAATTTTTTTTGAAAATTTAATGGTGTTGCAATCTCAGAACCTGGGAACCACGACATAGGTGAAGGCCTACCTTCTATGTTCTATGTTTCACAATATTCATTATTTCTTAGTAATTTCCCCAAGTTATATAGCAGGATAAAAGTCTTAATTTATAGGAAGCCAGTGTAAAAACAGCCTTAATTTCAAGTACTGAAGAAATATATTTTCAATCCAAACCATGGTTATATCATCTTTTATTAAGACTAATTAAATGGATACATGTAAGGGAGGTGCTGACTTAAAAGTATACTACTACTTCTCTGCTAGCATTTCTGTTAGAGGAGTAGCCTGTTGTCACATGTGGGAGCTCTAATGGTGCAGAAACAAAAGAATGTGGGGGTCTAGGCGGCCACTTTCCTGGGTCAGGGTTTCCTAAGAGGGACCACAGGTAGCTGCCTGTGTCAGTGGACATCACTGACCACCATTGGTCCATTCACCTTTATAAAATCATTCCACACAGCTTTCAGGATTTCCATACATTTCAACTGAGAAGAAATGTATATTAAAAGAAAGCATATCTGAGTGGGCTTCATGTGTCAAAAGTAACTATTTCATAAATTATTTCTATGTCATTAGCTATCTTTGAGAAAGAATAATGGAAAATAAATGTACAAACTGGGACATACTTATAAAACATCCTGCCAGACAACTATGCAAATCACAGCACATCCGCCCATAGCGAATCTATTCATCTCAACTCCCTCTAAGTGTTAAAACAAGTAGTAAAAGTAGGTTTTGGAGAAAACGCAATAATTATCATTGGCATTTTGGATTGGGGGAAATTACTGAGCATTATTTCTGACTCTGTCATTCTATGTTTTGCTACAATCGTGTTCCTTCTATAAGCTGTTCTTGTTATTAGTTCTATATTCATTTGCTATGAGCATTCAATATTAAACTTCAAAATAACTTCTGCTTTTCTCTCAATATAACATTAGCCTTATTAGAAACTATTAAATGTCGACATAGGTTTTGGAGATGGGCGGTGCCTTGCCAAGGACACGCAGTAGCTGGAACATCTGGTCAATCACTAAGAGCTGTTATCCATGCTTAGTTCTTCTTGGTTTTCTTCTTCAGACTGCGATCCCGTATGGACTTGTTTAAAGACATGCTCATGTTGAAATACATCCAAGAAGGCATGAGTGAGATCACTGAGCCCTAGAGGAACAAACAATAAAAAGAGATAATGTAACTGCAGCCTGCAATTCGAGTTAAGATGAAGCATATTATCTTATGTTTATTATCTTGCTGTTTTATTTACAGGCAAATTTTAAAGTCCTTGGGTGTACAGTTTAAGATAAAATATAGGGCCTCCCTGGTGGCGCAGCGGTTGAGCGCTGGGTTGCGAAGCTGCCCGCGGCCTCTGTGGCGCCGGTTCGATCCCCGGCTGCTCCCCGGCCACCAGAGGAGGGTCCCGCATGGCGCGCAGACCTCTCCTGCCGCCCGCTGCTCCCCTCAGCAGTGCACTTCGCTCCTTCTGCCTGCTCTGCTCCCCGCTCTGGCTCTGGTGAATTCTCTCACCCTCCCGCGCTTCTGACTGTACCCAGTGCATGTACAAACAAAACAAAAAAAACAAACAAATAAATTAAAAAAAAAATAAAATATAAATGCCTCGTTAGTAAGCCTAGGCAATGTATTAATGCTACTATATCCTATGCTCTTTTGTGAATCAATGAGAAAGAAAAACCCAGACCAAAGTACTGATTTGGAACATAGAAATCTACATACTAGAAGAGAATGGATCAGGTATCCATTGGTTCGGGATTGCAGGCCCACGGTTTTAACTGCAGCTTTCACAAATGTGTCTGCAGACGGCTTATCCAAAGTCGGCTTTCGGATTTTAGCCAGTTTCGTAGCTACGTAGAATGGCAGGACACTCTAGAAAGGCAACAACAACCCCCAAAAGAAACATGTCATTGATTAGGAAGGCCACAAACTCAGAATTCAGTGATGCCTGATTGCTGAGTGCAGAAACATTCTGATGATATCTACAGTTTAGTGAAGAAAAGCAGTTCTCTAAAGTCAGCTTATCAGATACGTAAGAACATACAACAAGTTTTAATCAATCAATAGCTGAAATAGAATTTGAGACTAAAGAAAGTACCACGAACAAGCAGAAACATATATTTTTGCATCTTTAAAAAGAACGTGAAACAAATCTGGAGAGTAGCAATTCGGGATGGGAGACTCTTTCTACATTGTCCTGGAATTCCTACATAGCAGATTTTTGACACTTTTAATTCTCCCAAAGAGATACAACTTTTCTTCAAATTGGTGATGAAGTAAGCTTAGTCCATCAACTTTGGTGCCTCTAAAATAAACATTTCACTTTCTCAGCCATGAGTGACCACTTTTCTTCCCTAGTTTCTTACCATTCTGCTTCTCAGTTTTATCTCCTTTACTGCTGACAAATAGGAGCCCCTGTCCTTTGTTCCCCCTTCTTTAACTGGCTGTGGAGAGACAGTAACAGTATGGAACTAGCCTGGGGAACTAAGAGCCGCTCAACAGGATTGGTGTGGGGTGACATATCTGGACATTACCTTTTAGAGGAACTGAGCCAGCGTTTGGCTCTTTATTGCTTATTGCTTACGCTCCGTTTTCGATATGACTCAGCACAGAATATGAGGAAACCCCATTACAGTGAGTCCTGAGTTATGAGGCTCCTACTCTAGTTTGAAACAGCATGGGCATGGTGGGTCCCCAAAGAGTGAACATACCCTATTTATCTCACGTGTGTGAAAGGAAAGGATATAAATTACAATGAGGCTTCTATTCATAAGAGGCTCTTTCCAACACCTGGTGGTCAAAATCAAACACTGGAAATAGAAATAAAACTGAGATGTGTTCCACACTAAGGTTTTCCTTCCTGCTGAGAGCCGGAAGCAGTGTTCCCAAGTCTCTCTGAGTGTTGGTTTGTATTTTTCCCGCTCCCAAGTATGAATCTACCAGGACAACCCATCTTCCTTAACAGGTGAGCTCAAACTTCAGCCTACCTGTTAAGAACTAAGTCCCCCCACCCCACCATCCCACAAGGGCCCAAAGACCGTCACTATCTGTCTCTCTCCTAGCCCTACAATCACAAACCCACACTAAGTAAACTGACTTCCCCACAGTGCTTCAGTGTCGGCACCAACTCTGAGTAGGTAGCGTTAGTTCTTGAGTATTTTTTTATTGGCATTATCATTATACACATAACCCCTCTCTTAATAAACATAACTTCTTTTTTCTCAAAAAGTTCTGTACTCTTTGGGGCCTCCCTGGTGGCGCAAGGGGTTAAGCACAGCACTATGATGCTATCCACAGCCTTTCCAGCATGAGTTTGATCCTCAGTCAGGGAGCTACCCACATGCGCAGCAGACCTCTCCTGTCTCACCCGCTGCTCCCCTCAGCAGTGTATTTCAGTCAGTCTGCCTTTTCTGTTCCCCACTCTGTCTCTGATGAATCCTCTTACCCCCTGCACTTCTGGACTGTACCCCAGTTCTTGTATGCATAAGTAAATAAATCCTTTAAAAAATTTTTAAAAATTCTTTACTTTTTAACCATATTGCTGAGGATACAGTAGGTGAGGTCATAAACCAGAGACCTCAGACATGTATGACACAGCATAAAATGCAGATTTTAAGGATGTTAAGACAAAGTCAAGGACAAAATATTTGCTGGCCTAGCAAAGCTGAGTATCAAACAAAGCAAAAGAGAGTACAGGCCTCTACTCTGGTCCCACATGATGAAGGAACACAAGAAAACCACTTGCATCCCTATGCTTCCAGTGTCCTGGTTACAAAAAGTGGAAATTAAAAAATCATTCCCATCTATTGAGCATCAGCCTACTAACAGTACTGTAAAACGTTGAGCTTTTCAAGGTAAAGATGGTCTGATAATCATACCTCTCAATTACATAATTATACTACAGCCCTCCCGCCTTCCCTCAATAGGTAAAGCCTAAATTGGACTATTTTGATCCCCTTGAAGAATTCAGTCGCACTCCCTGGATGAGCCACTTGATGGTGCCACAAGTTAACTCATCATTCAGTTGGGCCATTTAAATAATGGAGAGAGCCTCCTGAGGATGCAGGTGGGGACAAGAGACAAATTCCAGGGAATGCCAACTTTAGCTATGGTTTTCCAGCGATGAAGCGTAAATTCTGTTTTAGAAAGGGCATTTATTTCCACTGATTTAAAATCAAGGAGGTGAACGTGGACTACTAGAGGATAGAAAGGATTCAGAGATGAAATAAATTTAAATGAAGTAGAGAAGGTAAACAGGGAGAATTTTTGGGGTAATGGAGACAGCAAGAGCAAAGAAAAGAGACACAAGAGAACACGATATTCTCCGGGAGTTGTACTATGGTTCAAACACTGGCAGTGTGTGAAGCAGCGTGAGCAGGACGATGGCTAAGTGGTACAGAAACAAAATCCAATCACTGGACAGCAGCAATGATCAGGACCTGTTCTTATTCACCACTCAATTGCCAGTGCACACAATAGGGGCCCAGAGATCTGCTGAGGGGATTGGCACCAGAACCCTTCACATAGATAGCACTGAAGAATCTACCAGGGTCTCATTCTCTGATATGTTGCAGTTCAGAAATAAATGATACCAGAAAGTCAACAATGTAATATGGAAGCTTTAACTACAATTTTGTACATTCTGGTGCTTAAGCAATATCATCTGAATAAAGACAAAATTATAGGTCCAGCATCATGCCCAGAATCCTAAAAGGTGTAGTTCAAATTGTGTGAAAGTAAAGAAATACAGGTCACAATGGCATTTAGGTACATCCTTAAATAGCTAAGACCCCCATAAACAATTCTTAATCCATTTTCCTGCTTATTTAGGGAAGCATTCAAGTGAACAGAGTCCAAACAATACCTGTTTATAGCAGGTATTTGAGGCAGAAATGGTACAAGCTACTTAAGCTCAACAGTGTGTGGTGTAGATGAATATTGTTAGCTTGGGGACAACCTGCACCTTGACAGGCAGAGATGCAGGCATGTGTTCTGGTCTTCAATTGGAAATCCCAAACTGAAAATAATTAACTAGGCCATAAAGCAAAGCTGTTGATGTTTTACCCTTGCTCAGAAAATTCCCTGGAGGTAACTATCTTTTTTTGTGAACCACTGGAGTAGACTGCTCAGGAATCTGCTCTTCACAACACAATTTAGCAGGGTTTGATACAGACTAAGAAATCTACCACACCTTCCTATCAGGGAGTGGTGAGAAGACAGATGCCAAGTGCTGCAAGTCAGGCCTTCAAGGCTGAACATGGAAGCTGAGGTGATAAAGGCTGTTTCTGCAGTAGGTCAAGAAAGGCCTACTGCAAAGATCTGAATGGAGAAATTTAGTCAAAGGAGTTCTGGATAAATGGTCTTTTAGACTGAACAAACAGCAAGTGCAAAGGCCCTGAGGTGGCAGTGTAAATTAAAGGGTTAGAGGAACTACAAGGAAGTTAAGAAATTACAGGGGAATGAGATAATGTGGAACCTTTGAAGTCAGAACACAGTGGGTTATAAGAACTCATGACTTAACTCTGAAAGATGAAAAGCCACTGGAGAATTTTTCAGCAGAGAAAAGGCTGTGCTTTAAAGAGATCACTGTCACCACAAGGACTTGAGTAGAGAGGCTGGACAGGAAGGCACTGCAGAATGCCCACCGTGGCTCACATGAGAGTAGTGGCTGCAGAGGTCACAGAAGTGGGCAGAGTGGACATGTTCAAAGGATAAACTAAAGCAGTAAGGACTTTCCAATGGATTGTGGCTATGAGAGAAAGAAGAAAGGTGTATGTAGGGGTGGGGGTGGGAAATCAGATGGACTTAGATTCACAGCCCAGCATGACCACTTATATTTGTGGGCCCCAAAATACTGAGCCTTACCATCTTCTGTAATTGGGGAATACGGCATCTTCCTTATTATACTAACATAAATGTTAAATAAAATATGGTCAGAGTATAGGATTTGAGCTCTGATATGGATTAGGAATTATTTTCCAATATTTATATTTTTCAGAATGAATTTGGAAAGAAAAACTTGGCTGAATTTTCATATCCTACATGAGTTAGAAGAATGTCATTTTCTACAGAGAATGGCTGGACATCTGAGTCCTTTCTGCACAAAGATTTAAAGTGACTGGGAGGTACTAAAGGACCTCTCAGGATTTTACAGCCTGTGGTTCAATCTCTGTTGTAACGGGCAAAGGAAGTAAAGATACTATCACTAACAAAACTAGAGATTTACCTACTTGGAAGAGTTCTGAGTCCCATTATCCCAACAGGACTAATTTTACCATTTTTATAGCCATTTCTCAAAGTTGATACAGTTGATCAGATATAAATATTTCCTGGGAGAATCTTTTTATCACTCTATAGTTATATTTGACTGCATTTGCACCCAAGACACACTCCACTAACTTTGTGTATTACCATTGGCAATTAACAAGAATGGGTGAAGACTATTATGTCCGGATAGCCATTTCTCGCTCACCATACACAACCACCTCATTCATGTATTTATTGCTTGTGTATTATCTTATCTCCTGTGCCACTAGATGTAGATTCACCACACAGCAGGACTTCCATCTGTCTTATTTTGCCATTGTAACCCCAATTCCCAAACTATTAGGTACCCTCTAAATAGTCCTTGGCTGAAGAAATGTAGAACATGCTATAGACCTCGAGTTTTGGACTTACTATCCCTGGACATTGTAAAGTTTTTAAATACTGTCTTCTCTTTCTGTGGCTGCTTTGGGGACTAGCACTGTGTTCTCTTCACCTCTGTTACCTCCCCACCTCACTAAGGACCTGAAACTAGCAGGCACTCATGGTCTGATCAACCAAATTGACCTTAGACAGGTTCCAGGACTCCTGTTTAGTCTTAGTTTCAA